AGAAATAATGTGTTCTCATGCTAAACTGCCTGGGCTTGGCTTCCAACTCAACTACTTAGTAACCTCATTGACCTTAAGCAAAGTATTTTATTTTGCTGTGCTTCAGTTTTCCCTATCTCATCATCATTTACGTACCTACAGGATATTCACTGACTTATTTTCACTTAAATTTATTCTTATTATTATCATTCTTAGATAAGGTCTTGCCATATTGTGGTCTTCCTGCCTTGGCTTCTAGCTGGGACTAGAGAGGTGAGCCACTGTGCCTGGCTCTGTTTTAGACAGCCTCACTATGTTGCCCAGGCCAATCTCAAGCTCACAATCTTCTTGCCTCAGCCTCCCCGAGTAACCTCCCTAGGTACAAGTGTATGCCATCACACCCAGTCTTTAGGTTGAATCAAGAATCGAACCTGAGCTTCCCATGTGGTCCCAGCCTGTGGAACACAGCATTTTAACAGTCCACACTACTATGACTGGGCCTTTGTTTTTATTTGTCATTTAGCAAACTTACACAGAGCGTTCAGTATGATGGGCATATTCTGAATGATTTACATGTATTCACTCATTTAATTCTACAATAACTTTGTGAGGTAGGCACTATGACCTGATTCTGTTATATGGGTCAGAAAACTCAGGCAGTACTAGGTGAAGTGACTAGACATTGTGTAAATCAAGCTTTTTCGATTTCTGCTTTTTCCATCTTCTGACTGTCCTTCTAGATCCTTATTCCATGCTGGTTTTTGCCCTGAAAGGTTGACATATGTCAACAGATTCCCTGACACCTGATTTCTGGAGGGGTTGAGCTGAAGGGAGGACCTGGCAAGAGGCCAGATGAAACAGCAAAAGTGAGGTCAGGGTACTTACTCCGTGGCTCCTCCCTCACCCTTGCAGGCTGATTGCATCCTCCTGAGAGCCAGGGCTGCTACCTGGGATCTTCTCCACACAGTCACTCCAGGCTCTGTGAGCTGCTCCCTCGCCTGCTCCCTTCAGGCCAAGAGGTGGTAGGAGTTCCCCACTCTTGCCAGCCCTGGGGTTCTGAAAAACCCTTTCTTGGTTTCATCTACCTGCTCAAGTCTTTGCAAACTGTCCCTCACTAAATGCTCCTCAGTTACCCAACTCGAGTGTGCCATGTCCTGTTTGACCCTTGACTGGAACACCATGTCTACTTAGCTTGTGTGTCAGCCACACACTGGGTGGGGTTTTGTGCATCCGGACTCATCTTCTGCAAGAAAGCAAGCAGGTGCCCGCCTATGGAGTGTGCTCTGAGGAGGCTCGGGAAGGTCTTTGCACAAAAAGATACCTTTAAGGCTCTATCATTTATGAAAAACCTCCATCTTTAGAATCATTTACAAAACCAAATGTATTGTGTTTCCAGAAGGATCTTGTTCAATGCACTTTAATTGCGTGCCTGTGAACGAACTGGGGGAAGAGAGGCCCTAGTAACAGAATTTTCAAACTGCCTCCAGTTTGGCTCATAGACATGTTTGGATTTGTTTGTAAAATAAATCACTATCATTTAAGAAAGTGAGTTAATATCCTAGCAAAATCCAGACACTGGGCCTCTCTTGGAAACCAGACCATTTGGTAATGCCGGGTTGCAATTCATTTCACGGTGACTAAGTCATAGCTGTCTCCTTTGGATGAAGTTCTTCATTTTGTCATCGGCCATAGTACTCTCTATTGTTCCCAGCATTATAGCTGTTTGTTTCTTTTCATCATAATGTTGACACCATCCATCCCTGCCATACTTTCCTATTAGTCTTTCCTTCTATTCTAGACTTCCTCCACTTAGATCTTTGCTTGACTCCTGTAATCATTTGAGGCATATATTTGCTTGCCAGATAAGCTCCCAAATTCCTGTGCTATGGGGAATTAAACAAAAAGATTGTTGCGGGGAGGGGGGGGAGCTTAAGACTGCCAAATAAATTTTAGCCATGGCTGAAGTGAAGAGACTAAGAAAGAATTTTTGAATGCCAAAAAGAAGTGGGCCAGAAGGAATATGAACCTCTATGATACAGAATTATATCCAGAAGCATATGAAACTATTTTTAAAAAACAAGCTCACACCTTGGACCTGAGTAGTAATTTTATTTAGTTTGGGCCATTTTTATTTTATTTGCTCTAGCACTTTTTAGCAGACAAGCAGCAGAGTATATAAGAAATCTTTGTAGGCAACAAGGATGTAGAATGTTGAGCAAATTCCCTCTTTCTCTCTTTCACTCCCTCCCTTTGCTGGAGAACTGAGGGCACCATTTCTTGATTTTTTTTTCTTTTCTTTTTACTTGCCAGAGAGTGTTTGCACTGTGGGGGTGGGGGGGGGGAGAGAGAGAGAGAGAGAGAAATAAAGATACACAATGGGGTATGGTGATGCCATAATCCCTTCCCCTCCATTTGTATGCATTATGGGGGTGGTGGGGGGAGAGAGAGAGAGAGAGAGAGAAATAAAGATACCCAATGGGGTATGGTCATGCCATAATCCCTTCCCCTCCATTTCTCTTTTCTGTCAGGATTTTGGGCATGCATCCACACATGCCCAATGTGTCTTTCAAGCTGCTGAGGTTGGGACTCAAACCATGGTCAGTCATGTGTGATCCACTCTCAACTCACAGTGCTCAGCTATTGCTATGGACTAGCTCTGTTTCTTGACTTTATTAGGGGCACTTAGTCAAGACAGTGAGAATAGACTCCATGTGGCTAGAGCCTCTAAAATGGGCTGGGCTCTGGGAAGAGTGGTCTCCACCCGCCAGCAGCTGTGGAGCTGTGCAGTAAGCAGAGTGCCCACAGAATAGTGTCCAACTCAGTCTGGTGGAGGAGGAACAAACACTGTCTCTTCCTCGGAGTATATTCAGTGAGCAAGAAATATGCTGGGAAAATTGGACTCCAAAAGAGGAAAATGAAACACTTACATGGCTCCAAGGATGGCATTGCAAAGGGAAAAGGAATCTCCAAAGCACTAAATCAATATTTGGATTAAAAAAAAAAAAGAAGAAGAGAAAACGTTTCTTACCAACTTCAAATAGTTTGGTGGCGTTAAACTCCTCACTTCCCGCAAGCAGACTCACTTCAGTGGCAGCTGTCCTGAAAGTGTCTTCAATTCCTAAACACAGACAAGAGCTCATTTTTCCCTGGTTTATATGGAAAAAGTCACCCCCCAAAAATAAAAAACCAAATACACCTGAACAAAGGCTTTTTTGTATTCCTTGCTACTCATGGCAGAAACTTGCCAATGGAGGAAACAGTAAAAAGCAGGTAGTAGCACATAAAATATATTAAACCCCCTGATACCATTTGCAGCATGAAACCAGATCCAAATGTGCCTGTGTGAGTCCTAAGGAACTCACTAGGCCTGGGGATGGGGTTTGGGGCACTGGGGGGTACGTGTCAGAATAACTGGTGGCATCTAGATGATGAATTAATCCAAAGGCAGTGGAATGTAGTGGTTAATACCTTGCCTTAATGACTAACTGCCTGGATTCAAATCATCATTAGTCACATGACTTTGGGCAAGCCACTTCACTTTTGTGTGCCTCAGTTTCCATGTCTGTAAAATGGGTAGAACCAAGGGCCCTACCTCACAGGACTGAAAAGGTAAATGAGTTATATGTAAAGAAAGCACTTAGAGCTGTAAGTGGTAAGTGTTCGCTGATATTTTTTTCCCTTAAATATTTGTCTAGCTCCTTGAGAACGCAGCAGTCCGCAGCCAAGGATCCGATATCTCATATGCTAGGACCTTCAGCATTGTCAGTGATGCTTCAGAATGAATACGTTGAGCTCATCATTACTTGCTCTAGGAACTGACCCAGCTTCTTCAAACTTCACTGGCTTTCCTATTTCCTCTGCTTCCCTCTGCAGGCAGGAATCCTGGCAAGCTAAAGCAATAAGAAGAGGAAGGAGCAGAGAACCGTGGAACATTTGTACGTGGGTTTCGGCTTTCCTGCTGGGCATTACTTGATTTCCTTTACGGGCCTCTCTCTGATTTTATATGAGGCCCTTCAAACTTATTTGTAGGGTTGACCAAGGGGACAAACTTTTACAGTGTGATTACTAGACAGGCCAAGGAGACCTTGTCTGCTCCATGATTCTTTCTTGTAAGGCGGAGAGTCAACAAACTGAATAAGGAAAGAGATCCCATTAAAGGAAATTCTTCATGCTCGAAGGGGGCCCTGTAAAGATGAAATAGCCAAGAACAGACAAACAGAAGGATGGAAGGACAAGGACAGTTGAGAAGAAAATGTACAAACAGGACGGCTGGCTGCACTGCTCTCGGTGATAACAAAAGAAAAAGGCACACTCAACATGGCGGCAGAGAAAAAGTCTCCCTCTGATAAGATATCTAAAGCCACTACCTGGGGCCTGGATGCCAGTTCTAGAGGAGAAAACAGGCAAACCTCTATGCCCTGACATTAAAGGCATCCATGTGTGGCTGAGCTTGGTGGCCTTCTTCCGAGTGCTGGTGGAAGAGTTTAGTAGTTAAGAACAATGTCTCTAAAATCAGACTACCTGGATTCAGATTCTAGACTGACCACCTGCTGCTTGTGCGAGTCTAGGCAAGTTAACCTTCTCCAGGCTTCAGTTTTCACAGATATCTAATGGGTACAATAATAAATACCTATTTCCATGAGGTATTGGGATGGCTAAATGAAATGATACATACAAAAACCTTAGAAATTTGCTCAATACTGAAGTATTCAATAAACTTTATTATTTATAATCTTCATTATATTTTTTAAAAATAATTATTTACTTAATTCCATTTGTTATTATTATTTTTTAATTTGACAAGAGATAGAGAAAGAGAGAAAGGAGAAGTGTGAAAGTAAGCCTCCAGGTCCAGAACACAAACCGCAGTCATCCATGTGTGAATTCAGTGACCCAACCACCATGCCACCTGCTGGTCCCCTTCATTATCTTTTTTAAAAGAATTATTTATTTATTACTATTTTTAAAATGTGCTATAGGGCTTGTGCACTCACCAGAGAGAGAGAGAAGGAAAGTGAGAAAGCAAACTGCCTAGTCAGGGACTCAAACCACAGTTGGCCATGTGTGAGTCCAGTGCCTTAACCACCATGTTACCTAAGAGAGCTATCTTCATTATCTTATTATTTCTTCATTTTCTTTCTCTGTATGTAATTCTTTGTCTTTATTTTCTTTCATAATATCTTCTTATATTCATTACCATCTTCTTCATAGTCTTCACTTCCTTCTTTCTTTCTGTCCTCTGCTTCCTCCTCCTCATATTATTATTACTTATTGGTTTGTTTCTACCCATCCAAGTCCCACCCATTGGATGTCTCACTCAGTTCTTTATAATAAGCATGGAAGCGATCAGGGAAAGCATCTCACTGGCTGTTCCATTTGTTAGAAATCCATCTGCATGGCTGACATGAAGCCAGAATTCCCACTTCTTACATTTCAGCCCCATTTTCTACATATGCTCTTTTGCATGAATACAAATCCATTTCAATCTGATTCCCTTTCTCTCAGCTCAGAAACCCCTTTGTGTTTCTACTTCTTTCTTGTTCCAAATATCTCTGGTTTGTGAACGGAGTGTCTAGGGGTAGGAAAGGAAGTCTGGGGTGCGGGGATAAGATTTTTCTGTCTCTGACATTTCTTTCAGATGAAGCCATTTGGAATGTGTGGTTTTCTTAAAAGGGACTAAGATATTATTTTAGGCTGGTGTTTTACCTGGCAATGGGGAACACATAGTAAAACTATAGCCCAGAAGTTGGTAAGCTTTTCTATAAAGGGTCAGAGAGTAAATATATTAGGCTTTGTGGGTTACATATGGTCTCGGCTGCTGCTTTCCCTTCCCTCCTCCTCATCCTCCTCTTCACAACCCTTTGCCAATATACGGTCATACAAATATGGCTGCCAGCCTGACTAGGCCCATCAGTCATAGTCTGACAACCACTGCTAGAGTCAGTCACGATTCATTTCCGAAATAACCTCTTACCAAGTTTGCAATTAGCTCAGTTTTTAAAGCACTGACAATGCAGTATAAAGTGAGGATCGACTGCCAAGTCACCCTGGTTTACTCTCTTGAGAGCCTTGGGCAACTCTCAGGTATTTCCGACAGGACTTCAACTGTGTGGTTTCTCTGTAGATGGCTGTCAAGCCTCTCACCCTGGCTGCCTTATCAGACTATGGATGTCTGTCTTCATGTGTCTCTTCGAGGCACAACAAATCCTACATCAAAGGCCCAAACTAACCAGAGTTCCTCCTTTAAATTAGACAAGTACAACGTGGCAATTGTTCTTTAGGTCACGGCTATGGCAATTGTGCATAAGCCTCAGAAAATCCATCTTTTCATTCACAAAGCTCATTAATTGTCTCTCATTGTCTCACTCTGGCTGAAGTCTTATTAGGGTAATGATTATTTTTAAAAAGACAAAAATTTTTTAATTGCCAGAGGTCATGTGTGTGTGTGTGTGCATGAGAGAGAGGACAGAGAAAGAGAGAGAGAGAGAGAGAGAGAGAGAAGAAGCGCCCTCCAACAGGACATAGTCATGCTGCAATCCTTCTCTTCCATTTCTCCATCCTGTTGGGATTTTGGTTATGCATGCAGATACACCTGGCTTGTTTTTCAAGACACTGGGGCCAGGATTTGAACCTTGCAGCAAGCCATGTGTGATCTGGCTCCCTTAACCAGCAGGCCACAGGGTAGCCCCAAAAGACAATTTATATAAAATTAAAAACCTACCCCTTGAACTTGAAGCTCCATCCCCAAGTAACTCACCTGGGCAATTTGGACGGTCACAGGTCCTTGATTCTGTTGCAGTGCATGCATAGCCACAAGACCGAGTCCGCTTCTGGTTGCCATTCCCACAGGTGACGCTGCAGACAGACCAGAGACTCCAGTCACCCTCACCGTCTGAGGAATCTGGAAGGGAGCCAGGGAGACCGTCATCATCCTCACCCATAGAGTCCTCAAATCTGCCTTGGGAGGCAGCCTGCCCATTGTCCTGTTCCTTCAGTCTCACTGTGAGAGGGGCCCAGAGGGCAGCTGGCATTCAAAGGCTTACAGCTGCCCTAGTGCCCATGATTAGGCTCTGCTTTGTGAAGGCAGAGGTTCTAGACCCTGTGGCTATGGTACACAGCCAAGACCTGACCCCTTAAGTGCCCAGTAAGTGTTAATTGAGAATTTGCAGAGCATGGGATCATGGAATCATAAGCGAGGCAGTTTCCAAAGATGACTGCTAAAATATTCTTCCCTCTCTGTACATACACCTATCCACAGAGAGAATCTACTTCCTCTTGGCTAGAATCTGGGCTGGACTTGACCTTAAGTAAGGCCTGACAGCTTCTGGTTTTTGCTTTGGGGAATCCAGTCACTATGAAAGAAGCCCAGGTTAAACCTGTGAATTATGGGACACCACATGGAAAGAGAGGAGTCCCCAAAAGGAACATGATGACACCAGACACGTGAGTGAAACCTTCTTTAACTTTCCAATTCTTCCTATAGATATTGAATGCTGCTGATGACATCAGGCATCAAGGAACTGCCCAGGGGCCCTATCTGAATCCCTGAGACACAGAATTATAAGAAAAAATTAACTGCTGTTATATAAAGCCATCACATTTGAGGTGGTTTATTATGTCACAATAGATAACTGACACATGAATGGTAAAACTAGAAATGGCCCCTTGAGTTTATTATTCAACATCCATCCAATGAATATTTTTCTAGCCCTTATTATGTGGCAGACACAATTGTGGATATATGAATTATAGCATTAAGTAAAACTTTCAGAGATCTCTGCCCTGGTACAACTAATATTTTAGTGAGAAAAAGGAAACAATAATCAACAAACACAAAGAATGAGTAACTCTTATGGTGTATTAGAAGTTGATCCATGGTGTGGAAAAATGCAAAGTAGACCAGGCTAGGGGTTCCTGGGAATGTGAGAGGTGTCGAGGAGTTTGAGGCTTTATCAAGATGGACTTTCTCTAATTAAAAGTAAAGACTTGGAATGGTTGGGTGACTCTTCCAAGGTCACCAGGTAAACAGAAAGGAAAGCTGGGGCTCTAGCACTAAGCTCTCATTCTCTAAAGTATGACTCTCTGTAGCACCTCCTCTCTGGAATACTTTTTGTTTGGTTTCTTTTCCTCTAGCCTTGGGGCCTCTGCTGGTACCAAGTGTGGAGCTACAGGCATGTGTCTTGCAGGGAAGGAGTACCCTCTGTTCCTAACGGGTCATGGTGATGGTTATTACATAGGCCAGGCAG